TGGTTGAACTTTAATGAGTCAGCTGGTGAAAATGTTAAAATACGCCTGGCTGTATATGGGCACACACATAGTAAAACTATCATTGATGAATTTTTTAAAAATATATATTTTTACTCCTCCACATTTGGGGGGGCGGAGCCCGAGCGCCCCCTATGGGCCAGCCGCCACTGGATATTAGTAACTCTTATTTGGCACATAATGATCCCTATGAGTGTCACCTACTTCAAAAGGGTAGTTACACTCATCCCCCCTCCCTTTTCAAACACCTTCAATGCCTGTCTGACATGTCTTCCCAATGTGATGTTTGTGTAAAGTTTGGTCAGAGGGTTCCTTTGTAAGTGCGCATGTGACATTAGCGTACTGCCTACTGTAACCTATAATTTCCTTTAGGATCAATAAAGTATTTCTGATTCTTATTCTGATTAGAGGATGGTGATAAATTGGTGATTCAAATCTATAAAGAACATAAAAATATAACAGTAAAATGCAACATTTTTACAAACCAGGAGATTAATGCTGCAGAAAATGGTTAATACTTAGCACACCAAGTGTTAAAATAAACATTTAATTTAAAGTTAATTATTTTTTGGTCAAACTTTTAGGTCAAATTACCTTAACTCCCGAACCACTGGCACAATTGAAAAATTCAAATGGTTCCTGAAAGCATCAACTCTTTTTCAGTAAGGCTCAGGCACAGGCAGGCGCCACATCCAAATTTTGGCAAATAACAAAGAAAACAAAAGAGCAAAAAGCAAAAACAAAACTATAAAAACATGGCTGTGTGTGTGTCTTCTGTAGGGCTCCATCACACTCACTAACTCTCTCTTCTCTCAACCAACCTCCAACCGTCTTTTTGGGGTTGCTGCAACACTGTGCCAGGGATTACTGTAATGACCCTAAAATCCCTGACAAGCACAGAGTCACTGTTTTCAGGAACCATTGAAAGTCTTTCATTTGAAATGGTTCAGGACTTATGGGAGTTACAGATGTTGAAAATGTTGCAAAACACCTGTCTGAGGGTAGTGACAGGTTAGGCTGATTATTTCATTGTGAAGGGCACTGTTGGCATTGCTGTTTATTTCAAATCAAATCAAATCAAATCAAATCACTTTTATTGTCACATCACATGTGCAGGTACATTGGTACAGCACATGTGAGTGAAATTCTTGTGTGCGAGCTTCACAAGCAACAGAGTTGTGCAAAATACAATAATGTAAACAAGCAAAATACAAGAATGGCTACATCTGAAACTAATAAATATATGTACATAATATAATAGTATATGCATTTCTGGATGTGTATACTAAATATTTTTCTGTGTGTGTATGTGTGTGTGTGTGTATACACATATTTTACAAATTAAATAGAGTAAACAATGAATAGAATATATAAAATAAATAAAATAAAATATACAGAGTTGAGACATGTGCAAAACAGTGGCATTACTGTACAGTGTGGAGTGCATAATGTTGAAGTTCCAGTAGTGAAGCTGAGGTGTCTATGAAGTGTTCAGCAGTCTGATGGCCTGATGGAAGAAGCTGTCTCTCAGTCTGCTGGTACGGGACCGGATGCTGCAGAACCTCCTTCCTGATGGAAGTAGTCTGAACAGTTTATGGCTGGGGTGACTGGAGTCCTTGATGATCCTCCCCGCTTTCCTCAGGCACCGCTTCCTGTAGATGTCTTGGAGGGAGGGAAGCTCACCTCCAATTATCCGTTCAGAGCACCGCACTACTCGCTGGAGAGCTTTGCAGTTGTAGGCGGTGCTGTTGCCATACCAGGTGGTGATGCATCCAGTGAGGATGCTCTCAATGGCACAGTGATAGAAGGTCCTGAGGATGCGGGGGCTCATGCCGAATCTTTTCAGTCTCCTGAGAAAGAAGAGGCGCTGCTGCGCCTTCTTCACTGTTTTGTTTGTGTGTACTGACCACGTAAGATCCTCAGCCAGATGTACTCCAAGGAACCGGAAGCTGCTCACTCTCTCCACAGCAGCGCCGCTGATGGTGATGGGGGTGTGTACTTCTCTGCACCTCCGGAAGTCCACTATCAACTCCTTTGTCTTTGCGACGTTGAGGGTGAGATGATTGTCTTGACACCAGTGGGTCAGGGCGCTGACCTCCTCCCTGTAAGCCGTCTCATCACTGTTGGTGATAAGACCCACCACTGTAGTGTCGTCCGCAAACTTCACAACTTCACATTTCTAAGGCACAGTAGCATATTAGAGCTCTGAAATTTTAAATAGATCTAATTAAACATTTAAGTCTACTGTCCCACAACATAATAAGATGTGAAAATCAATTTAGTCTGTCAGCAGATCAAAGTAAAATTATTTTCATTGACTTTCCGTGCCAGTTACACACTCCCCTTCTTATCCCAAATAAGCACACCCTCCAAGCAGCAACTATCACACACACACCAGTCATAGAAAAAAAGTGTGTTTCAGTGTTAAATTTAGTGCAATTTGCCGTAAATTGTCTACCACAAACCTTAGTAGAGTTTAAGTTTTGGTAGAAGAGTCAAGCTGTGCTCATTAGTCTAGCATAGAAAATTTTTAAATTTCTTTTTAATTATTAGATCAGATTATTTTATTTCTATTTTTTGTAACTCCATTTAAAAATGCAGTTTGCCAGTTAGGTAATCGAATAATGATCAGTTACAGCTGACTTACAGGCCAGTCACCTGTCAGTCAAAGTGGCCATGCCCTTACCTTCCATCACTGTCCAAATGACCCACCATACAGTTGTTATGAAGTTTAAAACTGTACTGTACAGGGCAGGTTCTAGGTGTGCATTTTAATGGTATTTAGTGGAGGAATTTAAATTGTAAACTGTTGGTTACATAGCCCTTTTCTACTCTACTTCAGCATTTAAAGCTCACGTAGAGCTCAAACTTCAGAGAAGAACACAAAGGAGATTTCCTGCATCTGTCAGTCTGGCTGACAGTGACTTTAATAAAGTCATGGTTCCGTGGGGTCATCCTCTATGGGGGATTTGGATTAACCCCTGGAGAGTCTTAGGGTCGATTTGTGGCTCTAGGTCCGATAGTGTATGCATTTTTCTAAGACCCTCCAGGGGTTAATAAGAAATTTTCTGCAACAAAGAATAGCAGGTACAATTATGTAAACAGAACTGCAGTATTGTTTATCTGAACACTGAACAAGACATGATCCTGTCACATTTACATAAGTTTTCAAAGTGGGTGGCTGTAGCTCAGGTGGCAGAGCAGGTCAGCCACTAATCAGAAGGTCGGTGGTTCGATCCCAGGCTGCCTCCTAGCTGCATGCCAAATATCCTTGGGCAAGATACTAACCCCATGTTTGCCTACTGGTGGTGGTCAGAGGGCCTGGTGGCGCCAGTGTCCGGCAGCCTCGCCTCTGTCAGTGCGCCCCAGGGCAGCTGTGGCTACAATGTAGCTGCCATCACCAGTGTGTGAATGTGTGTGTGAATGACTGAATGTAGTGTAAAGTGCTTTGGGGTCCTATGGACTAGAAAAGCGCTATACAAATGCAGGCCATTTACCATACCAGGTAAAGGCGCTAAGATATCTTCAGTTCTCATAACAGAGAGCCTCTTTCATTTAAACCATTTCTGTTCACGTTTTCATCAAAACATGAAACATGTAAAAAGACTTTGTTTCTTCTCACTGTGTTCACAGGTTGAACTCTGTTGATGTCAAGTACCAGATCTGGAAGCTGGGGGTTGTGTTCACAGACAATGTAAGCAATCAGAATCACTCAGGACAGCGATGTCTGGCTCCATCATGTGGATTCCCTGCAGAAGTTCTTAACTCTTTTGTCTTTTTTGTTTATATCAGAGTAATTTCACAGGGACATTTTTAGTTTACCTCAACTTTTTTGCTAGTTCCTGTTTAAAATGTTTTAAAGTTGCTTATGGCATTTAACATCAATAGCAGTAACGGCATCATATGACCTGTTGTATCGGCCCATAACATTATAAGATAAAATTCTGGTTATTGTGTCTGGCAATTATGTCATATAAAAATATTGGGATAAATATGAAGCATTTGGCTCATCGTTTATAAAGCAGTGCTCCTACATTAATACATATTAGTATCTAATAAATTGATTTTTTAATTCAGGGAGTTACTAGTTTCATAGTTTGTCATTTTGTTTGACCTCATCAAAAGTGAGTCAAATGTATGCCTTACTGAAAAACCAGTAGTGTTTTCTTCACAGACATGTCTTGAAGTGACTTCCATGGTGCAGATATTATACTGTACTGGGTAGCACTTTATAATAATGTCACACTATTAAGCCTTACTAAGGTAATAGTAAGGTATTAGCAAGTCATATCATTACTTCTTCTTACTATGCCATTTCTAAATATAAATGTAATGGGGTGGCTGTAGCTCAGGAGGTAAAGCAGGTCATCTACTGACTATCCCCGGCTCCCTCAGTCTGCAAGCCAAATATCCTTGGGCAAGATACTAAACTCCAAATTGCTCTCCAATGCATCTATCGGAGTGTGAATGTGTGAGTATTAGATAGGAAGCACTTAAAAGTGTAGAAAAAGGTGCTTGTGTGGGTATGAATGGGTGAAAGTGGCATGTTGTATGAAGTGCTTTGAGCGCTCCAGGACAGTAGAACACCGCTACATAAGAATCAGTCCATTTACCATGACAGATGGTAAACATCTGCACACTGGCAGGGGCCCTGGTTGAGATTCATCTTTAGTTCCTGAAGGCTTTGGAAGACTGCCATGGCTGTCACATCTCTGCAGAATATCTAGGCTTAGCCAGAGGGTGGAGGGTCTCCACTTTGGTGGCCTCAGGATTTAATCTTTTGTGGTGCTTTTTCCAGATGATGTGGTTCGTTGTGGTGTTGGTGTCATCAGGTGGTGACCTCGAGTTTGCACTGCAATAGTTTGCTGCAGAGTGTGAAGCAAACCAAATCTGAGATCATGGATCTCAGCTGGAAAAGGTGGAGTGCCTACTCCACCTAAAGGACAGGTTACTGTCCCGAGTGGAGGAGTATTTCGGGGTCTCGTTCAGGAGTGGAACACAAGATGGACGGACGAATTGGGGCAGCATCCACAGTGATGTGGATAGTGTACCAATCTGTTGTGGTGAAACTGTCACTTCATTGGTCATTCTATGTTCCTACCATCACTTATCGTTACGAGTTCTAGGTAGTAACATAAAGAGTGAGGCTGCTAATATAAGTGGCAGAAATTAGTTTCCTAATTAGTTTCCTCTTTCTGAAGAGCGAGTGGGCTCTCACTTAGAGAGAGAGTGAGGTCATCCGAGAGGGACTCGGATTAGAGCTGCCGCTCCTCCACATTGAAGGTGTATAAATGTAAATGTAGCTGCTAACTGAGCAATGATCGTGATGTGTCATCCACATCTGTGTCAAGAGTCATTAATCTATTGTCTGGTAATTATAATTTGAAATGTTTTATGATGCTTTTATTTGATTTATTAGCTACACAATCAGCAGCCTGGATGTTACCTAATATGGTAAACCAGCGGCTCATTTACACTCATTGACTGAATTTCCATCTTCCGTCCTTGTAGTCCTTCCTGTATCTGGCCTGGTATATGACCATGTCCATTCTGGGTCACTATAACAACTTCTTCTTTGCTGCCCATCTACTGGACATTGCCATGGGTTTTAAGACACTGCGTACCATTCTCTCCTCAGTCACACACAATGGCAAACAGGTGAGAACACTATATGAATATTATAAAATTAAACATTTGTCAATATTGAGTGAAGCTTGTGATATTTGCCCTTGTTTGCATTACAGCAGTCTTTTCTTGCCCCTTCTCCAGCTAGTGCTAACTGTTGGCCTATTAGCAGTGGTGGTGTACCTCTACACAGTAGTGGCCTTCAACTTTTTCAGGAAGTTCTACAACAAGAGTGAAGATGGAGAACTGCCAGATATGAAGTGTGATGACATGCTGACAGTGAGTATGACATGTATTAGACTGTAGTGAACCGGAATAATAGTGCTGGGCAGATGATCAAAACGACAGATAATTTGCATCACAGCATGTGTTAAGAATCAGTCAGTTTCACAAAAAAGTTATCTAAAATGAAAGAACAGGGCTATAGAGTCGGCCTTAAAATGGAAACATTACATATATAAATACTAACTTACACCATCGAGCCCTGCTCTCAGAATCGGTCCTAATTTAACACTGTCTGTGAAACTGGATTTAATAAAAAATTGTTTAAATTGAAAGGTTGTAGAACATGTTTAGCACCATCCTGTGCCTGTTCAGAGCAGGATGTCATTAGGTTGGATGCACTTACATTAGTTTATGCTAATTTCCTAGTTTATAACTAGTGACAGAACAGTTAATTTGCTGGAAAACAAGGTGACTAAAACTAAAAGTCAGTTTGAGGGGGTCCTGTTTGTATGGGCCCTTCAGTTTGATGAGCCAGAATATAAAGAAACTCAGAAAGAGATGAGAAACAAAGTAACTGACCTCTATCAGTCTGTCTGTCATCTAGTATCATCTGTCAATCTGTCGTCTATCATAGAAGGTTACAAAGCCATGTCTAAGGCTTTTTGGGATTCCAGTGAATAATAATAACTTTATTTATGAACAAGTGAGTCTTCAGCTTAGCTTTAAAAACCTCCACAGGGCATGCCTGCCTAATCCCACAAAAATGGGGCACAAAAAGAAAAAGCACGTTCCCCGATAGTTTTTTTTTTCTGGCTCTAGGAACTTTTAAAAGGCCAGAATCCTGGGATCGGAGAGCACGGGATGGAACATAAGGGTGCAAGAGATCAGAGAGGTATGAAGGTGCCAAACCATAAAGCCTTTTAGGTGAGCAGCAGGACTTTAACATCTGCTCGAACCTGACAAGGTAGCTGATGAAGGGATTTCAGTACAGGGGTAATGTGCTCAAATTTTCCAGTTTTAGTTAAAATGCGAGCAGCTGCATTTTGCACCATCTGTAAACCTCTAAAGCTTTTCTTTGGTAGCCCAGAAAGGAGACCGTTACAATAATCGATACATGAAGACACAAATGCATGGACAAGAACCTCTGCAGTGTCGCTTGATGAAACTTGTCTGATTCTGGCTATGTTCCTTAAATGATAAAAGGCGGTCTTTGTTATCTCTTTTACATGAGACTCGAAAGAAAGCACCATGTCGAACCACACGGCCAAGTTTTTAACCTTGTCCCTGCAATTTATGACATAGTCATCAATTTTCAAGATGAAATTTTGGGACAATATTGAAATTTTTGTGGTCCAATGACCATCAACTCTGTCTTATCAATATTAAGAAGCAGGAAATTATCCGATAACCAGCCCCTAATTGCAGATAGACACGATTCTAATTTAGACACTTCAGCACAATTTCCAATGGTTAAAGGAACATAAAGCTGCAGGTCATCAGTGTAACAATAGAAGGTTACATTAAAAGAACGTAAAAGAAGACCAAGACGCAGCAGATACAGAGAAAACAGCAATGGTCCAAGTACGGAGCCCTGAGGGACCCCATGTCCCACTGCACAGGTCTCGGAGAGATCATTTTTCAAGCTAACAGTCTGAGATCTCCCAGACAGGTAGGATCTCAGCCATGATAAAACATTTCCTATAACTCCAATAAAATCCATGGTCCACAGTGTCAAACGCAGCGCTTAGATCCAACAGTAATAAAACCGAAGTGCGATCATTGTCTGCATTTACCAGCAGATCATTTACCACTTTGACTAAAGCTGTTTCTGTGGAGAGATTTGGTCTAAGCGCAGACTGAAATGCTTCAAACAGATTGTTAGTTGACAGACGCTCAGTGAACTGCTTAAAAACAACTTTTTCAAAGACCTTAGACAAAAAAGACAGATGTGAGATGGGTTTGTAGTTTGCAACCATGTCAACGTCCAGTCCAGGCTTTTTCAAGATTGGCATGACCACAGCTGATTTAAAACAGACAGGGAAGACTCCGGTCATCAATGAAGTATTTAAAAGAAACAGAATGTAGGGTCCTAATACTGACCACAGTTCCTTTATAACCCAGGCTGGTAGAGGATGCAAAGAACAGGTTGTACATCGAGCTGCTTTTGCAACCTTAGTTAATCCAGACAGAGAAATAACCGTGAAGTCAGAGAACAGTTTATCAGCACCAACAGGCAAAGCAGCTGAGTAGTCTGACGAACTGCTCGAGGAGGGAGTGATCTGATTTCTAAGTGTTTCAGCCCTGTCTCTGAGAAACATAAGAAAGTCATGAGCTGTCAAATTAGAACAGGAGAGTTGACTTACTCTCTGTAAGTTGCGACACTGTGTTGAATAAAAGTTTTGAGATATGTTCATGGCTCATGATGAGATTTGAGAAATAATTTGCTTTCGCTGCAGACATCGAACATTGAAAAAAAAGACAATGGGTCTTTCCGAGCCTGGAGAAATCAAGTCTGGAAGATCGCCAGCGACGCTCTGCTTTTCTACAATTTCTTCTCAAATTTGAGAGCTCCTCATTTAGCCAGGGCATAGGGTTCCTTTTTTTCACATTTTAACTTCTTTACAATAGCAACAGAGTCCAATAGTTCAAGAAGTGCATTATTAAAATTCACAGTCAAAATGTCCACACATAACTCTGGGAAAAATGGGGTCCAACACATCAGGCAAATGTAATTTAACTCCAAGCAATGCTTCATGGCTAATATGATGAGATGATCTGAGGGGCAGTTTCCCCTCTCAGAAGCTGGAAATTTAGCAATTCAAATATCAAATAAAATTACTGAATGGTCTAAAATAGGTAAAACACAATTTTCAGTCACTGATACATTCAGTCCATAACACAAGGTCTAGGGTGTGGCCCTTACGTGTTGGCCCAGACACAAATTGTGTGAAGTTTAGGGAATCAATTACATTCAAGAAATCCTTGACCAGGGGTTTATCCTCACAACGTAGATGTACATTAAAGTCCCCCACTATAAGGATCCTTTCATAGTAAGCGATAAAACATGTCAAGAAGTCTGAAAATTCCGAAATGAACAAGTCGTTATATTTAGGTGGACGATAGATGACTATAATTAGAACCACGGGACAGCTTAAAGTCAGGAGATGGGTGAGAGCCATTACTCATAAATGAAATAAACATAGAACACCTGTGAGGCTTCTCAGGATGACTCAAATACTTTTTTGTACCCAAAGCTAATACTGGGATGTCTGGTATGCACTGCTGCAGTTCACTTTCTTGGCTGTGGGAAGTTGCTCCCATCAAGTTTGTCTCACTAAAACTTCATTTTTTGCTGTCTGTAAAGAGCACACACTTCCATTTATGGACAGAGAGCTTTGAGTCAGTAGTTTTAGTCTCGGCAGTGTTACCCTCAGGCAGTAAGAAGATTACTTATTTTGTCCACTTCTTTTTCAGGCATCTATTACGTTTTTGGGAATAGCAACAGTGCAAGTAATATAAATAATTATATGTTACTAACCTGAGCCTTTACTGTGATTTAAGCTCAATTTAAGACTATCTTTGGGGGTTACCTTATTTGGCTCCAGGAAGTCTATCCAAAATTGGTGAGCTGGATAAGGGCATTTGGAGTATCAGAATCAGCTGATATACCAGTTTCATGATAGCGGTGCCTACCTACCTGACCTATGCAGCACAAGCATCCATTGTTTAGCCAGTTTAAAAGAGACAACTTTGTGACATAGTAAAGTCTAACCAAAGATGTGGCCATGAAACAGAAATGGAACAATTATGATGAATTTAAATGTTGGAAGTGTAAGCCATTACCTATACTTAAGCACCTGTGTCATTAATGCAGGTCAGTGTGAGTCGGGGTGAAAGATAAGTGTATCGCAAAGCCAAACATTAGACCATCTTGTCAGTGATGAGAGACATGCCAAGTACAAACAGACTCAGCTTAGATGAGAATGTTTTCTGCTGCTAAGCCATCTGAAAGAAATACTATATAAGGGCTCTATGGTATTTTCTGAGGGTAGAAGGAAGCCTTCTGTCACCCGGAAATTTCAGGACACACAAACACACACTAATCCCCTATAGTCAGCCACCCATTGCATTCCATAGAGCTCTTTTGTGTCCTATTAGGGGCTAAGTGTTGCAGCTCGGCCTGTCTGTAGTTCAAAAAGGTGACAGGCGCTTAGTAGGATGGTGAGATGCACTAATGAACGGCACTGCCCTAGCAAGATTGGTCTCCTTCCTTACAATAAGGCTTATAGTAGCAAAAAATGGTCAGATGATGCGTTCCATGTGAAAGCAGAAGTCGGAATTTCCTGAATTTTTCAGTGTCCCCTCAAGTCAGATTTCCAGCTCTGAACATCGCATCAACCAACAGCCTTAATCAGCCCAACTTAACCATCCAACATGGAGCCACTGTATATAAACATTAGTAAAACTGTAAAACCTGTAATCTGTGCTGCTACAGCTGTTTATTTATGACTCGCTACATAAGCCATATGCACAGCACCGGGCAGGTTCTGTCTGCGAATGTGCTGCGGTGCTTTTAACACAAACATTGCGCTGTGTTGTTACTGATGCATTAATAGCTCTGCCTTGCTAAGATAGAACAAAACATTTTTTTGTGGTTTCGCATTGTTTTGCAACGCCTTCATGAAGAAATCTGGATGGAAGCATATGCTCTCCTAAAAACTGAACACACCTTTCAGCATTGATTTGGTTTCCTCTGTAGTCTGGAGGATGCATCATCCAAAAAGAATTTAAAATATTTATTTGTCCAACCACAGAACATGCTTTATACTTTCCCTCGGTCCCTGGTTTAATGAGCTTTGGTCCGCAGAAGGTAGACAGCAGCGTTTCTAGATCATATTCACATGTGGCTTCTTTGTAACCTGCAGAGTTGAGGGCACTGTGAACTGCATTCACTAACAATGATTTTTCAAAATGTTACTGGACCTCTACAGCGACTAGAATCATGCCTGTTTTACTGCAAAGAGACTTACAGATGTCATGTCTTCTGATGTTTCAGAAACATTAGTGTGTTCAAGCTGTTTGTGACAGTCATGGTTCTGCCCATTAAAAACCCAATGCAAAAGATTTGACCTCTGTGACCCCTGTACCCCCCTTCCTGTGTATCTCTCTCTCTGTTCCTCAGTGTTACATGTTCCACATGTATGTGGGAGTGCGAGCAGGTGGAGGAATTGGTGACCAGATCGAGGATCCAGCTGGTGATGAGTACGAAATCTACCGGATCATCTTTGACATCACTTTCTTCTTCTTTGTCATTGTAATCCTCCTGGCTATCATCCAGGGTGAGGCATCCTACACATACATGCACACAAACAGTTTAATGGAAACACAAGCAGTTAATTAGGCAACTATTAGCCAAATGAATACATTCTAATATTGTAAAGTAGAGTAAACACCACAGGAAGTGTTTGTTTCTATTCTATAATACAGAGTGCTGATTCAAATGTATAATTATTTTGAGAGCAATCATTTCTGGTTCTGTTTGGTTTCCAATATTTTGGTTGTTCTGTTTATTTCAAATTGACTAGACTAAATAATCGCGACGTCTCTCCAAAGTGGAGTACACTTGAACACCACCTTAAACAGTTTCCTGCTTGTAAATTCAGATAAAACTGAGCTTATTGTACTTGGCCTTAAAAACTTCAATGAAACATAGTGCCTAACCAGATACGAACTCTGGGGAAAGGATATGTGCATACTAAACAAAATATAGGACTGCTTTCTTTGCACAACATCTCTAAAACTAGAAATATTCTGTCACAGAGTGACGCTGAAAAACTATTTCGTGCATTTATTACTTCTAGGCTGGACTACTGTAATTCATTATTGTCAGGATGTCCTAAAAACTCCCTGAAAAGCCTTCAGTTAATCCACAATGCTGCAGCAAGAGCACTGACAGGGACTAGATATATTGTATTTCTGCCATACTAACGTCTCTTCATTGGCTCCCTGTTAAGTTCAGAACTGAATTTAAAATCCTCCTCTTCCCATAAAAAAACGTAAACATTACTTATTATTAAACTCTGCCTATCTTCCACAGTGTGCCTTTTATCTACAATAATACAAAAAAACAAGCGCAAACCCCAA